GCGAAATTTGTTGCATGGATCTTCGGCTGATCAAAAAACCTCAGTGCTGAAATCACCTCTATGAGAATTCAGCAGTGCTTTTATATGCTGGGGTTTCCGACAATACCTCTTGACAAGTCAAGCAAAGAATAATTCATACCTGCTCCTTCCATGTACTAATTTTCAGGGCTACATTATCTTACACCCGTGGCTTATGATTTTCGTTCTATTTGTGTACTTCAGGAGTGGCTACTTGACGAAATGCAGCGTCTCCGACGTGTTGAGTATCTTGTTAGAAAGTTCGAAATTCGATGTTCCACTCACGAAGCATGGGCCAAAGGCAAACCAGCTATGTTGTCATCCAGTGATCATTTGTCGTGCAATCTTCCTGAATTGCGGGCTTTGATGAAGCGCCATGAAGCTTTTCAATCAGAGCTTGCGGCAAACGACGACCGAGTAGAGCGCATACGAGCATTAGCTGATGAATTGGGGTAAGTGTCAATTTTGTCTTCGACACGAGACTTTACTCGTAGTGCAATGACTTGAACACACTCAATTGTTGAGTTTCTAGACCTTTAACTACTTAACAATAATCTGACTGTATCGAATAATATGCGTCGGATACACCCCTTTGTTATAAAGGTTATTGTGCAGTGATTTGTTTGGTGCACGGTATGTACTCAGATGCGTGTACGGTTGCACTGTTTTCCAACGGGGTCAGCCTATGCAGAACACTCAGCGCGATATCCAAGTGCTGGTGTGTATGATTGAAGGGTTTTTGATAATCTGGTCAGCAATAATTTTACTGAATTTTACGCCTACATTAGTGGACATGTTTTGATTTTATTACTGGAATATCGCTGGTAGCTATTTCAGTAGTCTCTCGGTGTTTATCAATTCACTTCCTGTACATACCGGTTTAAATCGCTTTCATTTAATTAGATCCTGGGAGTTTGATAAAACTTAATCATATGTGAGTGGCATGAATGCATGCTCCGATGACTTGGATTATTTCATTAGCTGACATTGAGGACTCTCCCCATCCATTGATTACTTTCTTTTTACCATTGCATGCTTTTCCATTTTTCTGCTAGTTATTGATATTAGCTCATTGTCCTGCCCATTGAACCATCCATATCTTTCTCCACTGCTAACCCATATGCGGTTATCGCGGCACTAGTTTTCGTATGCACTAAGTTATGGTTCATATGGTGATCTAGATAAACTTACTCGATTCACCATGGGAATACTGCATGATTCCAATGTCCTGAATGATAATCAAGCGTCGATATAAGAAGACTAGATCCTCATAATCGTGATGCAGTTGCTTGGTCACTGCCATTGCTCAAGATCTGACAAAATGTTCTTTTTGTTCCGAAACACATTTGAACACTGAGGAGCTTGTTTGCAAAATGCAAGTTTGAACCTTCATTGTCATCACCCCCGATCATCCTGACCACGTCTTTTCATACGTTCGGTTTATTCTGTACTTTTACCTTTTTATGAGTGCATGTACAATTGGTATTAAATTAATTTGAGAAACCCAACCGAGCTCGTTAATAATCCATGTTACAGGAAGTTGAAGTACCATGACATGGAAGCTGTTAACCGACGTTACTCAGCCATCGTCTCTACCACTCAAGAAATGAAGCGTCTTTCGGAGTCTCGTGAGCGGGAACTTGCAGTAAGTTTCACCACTCTGCATCAGCTGTGAAAGCACTGTTAGGAAAATTTTCTGCCCCTTATCTCATCAATTATTCTTCATTTGGTAGCGCTTGCTTCCAGTTCTGGAGAAGATCGATCAACTGCATTTGGACTTTGCAAAATTAGCAGCGGTAAGTACTGCAATCTCACGTTCGACACAGCTTACACTTTTCAATTTTACTCAATCACTTACCGATATTCTTCTTTCTAACATACGTTTTCTATGAAGCCGTTCAAAAATTGGATGGAACACACTGAGGAGGATTTGCATGACACCCCTATCATCCACACGATGGCGGAGGTTCAAGTGAGTTCTTTTTTATTGCGTTTTATTTCATACCACTGAACTGGTAGTTACTATTTGACCCCTTTCTAGTTTAGAACCTTGGTTACCAGTTTTATATTTTCCATAAAATTTAGGAAAGAAATCAGTCACATAGATGACATATTCTCACTAGTGCATCTCGTAGCAAGTTACAGTAACCATCGCATCGCTCCCGCGCGTGATTTTCGTCCTTTCTAGATCATTACTGGATTCAATTTGTCTCATGACACGTATTCAAACTTAGACTGGAATAGTAACAGCACCTTTACAAATTCTACATGACGTTAGTGAGAATGACCGAAAAGATTCTCAATCGTCATGATGCTTCTTACTCAGCTGATCAGTTGAACGATTCCTTGGCACTACAAATGTATCAGATTGACAAAGACTAAGCATGTTTTATTTGCATTTCCTTTAGAATTCAGGGCTTTTCTAAGATGCACTTGCTGAGGAACTGATCCGGACCTAATACCAGTGCTTACCATTCACTGCCAAAGCGGCATAATTTGAGTCAATTTTCTTAATATTTGGACAGCATAGGAGTCAGTCATAGAGCACTTAAAATCTGTTGCAGTTCACCCGGTACAATGTTTCACCTACTTGCATTTTTCCTCTGGCTACCGAACAAATCTGCAATTTCGGTCTTCAATCGCACCCCGAGCAACTCCTTCTGAAGTTAGCTTAATACCATCGGTTTTGTCGGAAAAAATAAACAAATTCTACTTTGTATGCACATCTTTTGCTGGTTTCAATTACGATCTTTCGCCATTGATTATGCAGTCTCACTAACCTCGTTCAGTGCGACATAGATATTCTGTTTGAGCATCAATAACCTTCGTTTGTCTCCCGTCCGTAATGGCTGTACAACATCGGCCGAACTGTGGTAGGGTACGCGGATAGGTGACTGTTACGACACTATCATATATGTTTCAAGTTGCTTATTGTATTTTGTTGTCTTTGCTTTTCTCTATGCGTACTGAAACTTCACCTACGAGAAGAGTTGCAGCTGCTCAAATAACCGTTGGTAGCATTCAACCCACATGCAAATCATGGAACTTTTTTTATAAAGATTATTGTCTCATGATTTGTTTGGCACAGTCTGGCATCAGATGCGTGTGCAATATAATGTAATAATAAGTAACCATTGGTCCATTTAGTCCATTACCTCCAGTTGAAGTTAAACGTCGAACCTGCTCAATTTTGTTACAGCATTTTACACCCTTAAATAGTAAAAACCTTGCAAACAGCTAAATTTACACTTCGTACTTCAACAGAAATCATGTATGCTTTACTCTTCTGGTTTATTCAAGCATTGTTATCTATAGTAACTCTTTGCTTGGATGTGATGTTTCAGTGTTTTCACCAGCCCAAGTCAAACATTTTACAGGATATGGTTGTTCCAGCTCCCACCCTCATTCCAACTTATTTCACTTCATTACGACCGTTTCCCTGTTGAGTATAAGCCGGCTGCATAACGGTTATGCACTTCAGTGAGAGGTTTCCACTGAGTAAGCAGTGGATAAAGTAGATAATTTTACTACTTTTCCTGCAAAATATTCCCTGATGGACAAACGACAAATGGCGTTTCGTCGCGCTTATGAGAGGCTTGATTGGCGTTCGCCAACTTGGGAAATCTTTGACGGATATGCGACATTCGGTTTTCCATTGAGGGTTGAGTTTATGCTCCAACTGTCCGGCAAGTGCTGCTGTAAGATACATCAATATGGGCATTATCAAAGGTCGATGAATTCAAACCATAATTATTTCAACACTGCTGTCCATGGTTGCAGCGCGATCGCAAGATGCTTGTGCATCCACAGAGGATAGCCACCATGATGGTCAAGGGATTACACTACCTCACCTATGAGGAGGAATTACGATCATTGGGAGTATATTCTGCTCAGTACCGCCGAATTCGAGGAGACTTAATTTTGGCGCATCAAATACTGCAGAGCCCCAACCATCCATGTCGGTCGCTGCTCATATTATCGAACAATGTGCATCTTAGGGGACACCATTTGAAGTTACTGATTGCAAAGTATGGACTGGAATTCCGGTGCTAATCTTTTGCAATCAGAGTATGCAGTACTTGGAACACCCATCTCACGTCTTTTGTGCACCAACTGTTGAATCTTTCAAGCGGAGACTTGATGAAACCTTGCTACACATCACATTCCTGCACCATTAAAAGGAAACGCAAATTCATTGAAGCCTAAATTCTTTATTATCTCCTACTTGGAACTCTGTGTAATTTTTTTCGCTGTGAAAAGATTTAACTGTGTAAATGTNTAAATGTCCTACGGGGATAAGAGAAGCATGAGCTAGTAAGTAATTCCCATGATAAAATTTTGACTTTGACTTTGTGTATGCCACACTGCATCGATTCGGGACAACCAGCCATGCTATGCTATGGTAAAGAATATTTGGTAGCCGCGGTCATGCACTAACGCATGTGCTTGACCTGTGTCGCCGGCGATGACTGGGTAATACGTGCTACCGGACAGGCTTCCTGGACTTGGAATGTTTGTCGAGTCAGTTAGAGGATGATAAAAGAGTAGGAGTGATCAGAATATCTGGGACGGAAGTATAAGAACCGCAGCTCGTGGACTCGTTAGACTCATTGGTTTGGGATCTTTTTGACAACCTAGTTGTGTTAAATACTGTCTTAAACAATGACCATCGTGCATCTACTCACATAATCACCCGATGTGGTTTACTCGGTTTCAACTATTCCACATAATCGTTCTCCGCTATCGATCGAATTATTCCCCGAAAGACAGGACTATATTTCAGTGGTTGTATGGGCTGGACATTTTCTATGACAACAATATTGCTGATATCAGCTTACGATTCAGTTTTCATTCATAACATTATTGATGAATCTCTAATGCACTACGATCTCCCATATCCGCATACAGCGATATTTATCTGCTCACAAAGCGTTTGAAAGCACACTTGAAGGCACAGAAAAGGAGAATCAAGCTATTGAATTCTGCGCAAAAGAGGTCAGTCGTCTTGCACGAGAGAATAAACTTGGATCGTTCGAAAATCCTTACACAAGTATCCAGCCCGACGTAAGTTAATTACTCAAGCAGCAAACTAATTATTACTCGTTTATCTAGTTGGTCTCTGCATAGGTTTTGTTTTCATTATTTAGTTGAAGGTTGGAGTGTATTCCGTACCCTCCCAATATTACATCACATATACTTTTATTGAGAAACTTATTATGTATTTTAGACGTTTTTACCGAAGGAGATCGTGCTTTCCACTCCTGGCTTGTCAACCAACTTTAATTAATCTATTGTTAAATGTTATTCAGAAGCAGGCGATACGAACAATCAAATTTTTATCCAATGGCAATCTAACGCTTTGTTTTCACTTTCATCACCTGAATAATGCTTTAATTGTGGAAAAATCCCGAAATAAATATCCCATTTGACTAACTTTCCGACAGCGATCTGAAATCTCCGCTGTCTTACCCAGAACCAAAATGAGTTGTCTTCTT